GTGATGGTCCGTTCCATTGGGCGCGCGCGATACAGAGAAAGTGTCGAAACGCGCTTAAATGGATCGTGAAATCGTAAAACGGATCGATCCCAATGGGGATATTCGATTCTCGCCTCGTCCCCTATTTTCCAATCGATCTCGCAGCGAACCGTGCGTTTGCACGGATATAATTTACAGGGGGCATGTGTATATGCATGCGTCTGACCTTCACCCTCCCTTCTATTCTCGAACCAGCAGAAACCAATGATGTGTTCGAACAATGCTCGAGCCGAGACGAGATGTTTCTCGCGAGCTGGATATCGATCGCGTCTGCCGAGACGCTCGTGATGACAAGCGGTACAACGGATTTCCCGCGTGTCCCGGAAGAAGCGGAGGGGAGGGGGGGCATAAGTTGGGAGAAGAGGAAAGTTTCTCTCTCGCAAGGCGGTGGATGCGCGGAAAGTTTTCAGCACGCGATCGCCGTAACTCGATCGTTGAAGATGGAGCGGCGGGCAAACAACGGCGGGTGAAATTTCTATCCGGATGGATTCTAGCCGGTGGTCGGATTGGGAGGTCGAACGATTCGAGAGAAAGGTCTTCTACCTTCCTGGATTACGTCTGACCTCCGATCTCCCCCCTCGGCCGCCCAGGATTCCCGGGTCGGAAGGTTCGCCCTCGAAATCGGACGCCGAGTCCTTCCCTCGATTCGATTCACACGATTGTACGTATACGAATAATCGGGTGCCTTTTCTTCCAAGGGAAACGAGTCGCGAGAGACACTTGAAAATTTTACAATGGAGGAGGAGGTCAGAGATCGAGGGACCGAGGTCGAAAATTTTATTCGCCCTCGGTGTTCGGGCGCAGCTGTCGATTCGTTTCAGCAACGGATACGTTTCCTCGTCCGTGCGGGAGAAAAATGAAAATGCGAAGGATTCTTTTTCTTCCTTTTTTATTTTAGGTCGGGCAATTCACGGAAAAATTTCGAACCGCGTTGAATGAATATTAGAACGCAAACGAGGGGGACCGAGTCGGTGCTCGACGATGAGAAGTCATAGATTTGACCCCCGTGTAATTTATATTTGGCTAGCCAGAATCGAAGCTAGCGCGTTTACGGAGATTTAGCATTATTATACCTGTGTATACCTAGGTGTAATCAGATTTATAGTTAACACGCATAAATCTGATTAATTGCGATTACCGGTAATTATCGGTGTTCCATGGCTCGTGCGGATATAAATCAGTTTTCGTTACATGGAGCCGGGGTGCACGGCCCGTTGTGGAAAAATTAATGCCACTTGCCGCGCAAACGCCGGATACGCGGTGCCGGTCGCCGGTCGTTCATTGTCTGCCCGCTATCTACTCGCCTAGATTTGTCCCCGTTAATCCCAAATAAAATGGAAATCGAGCCTTTCTATTTTTTTTCCATTTCTGTTTTATACTCCTCTCATTCTTCCATCGATGAGAATTCGATTTTTCCGATCGAGTTATACATATATATATATATAAGTGAACGTGAGTTTAGAATCCAATATTCGCGATCATCTGTTATTCTCCGGTCGCGTTGCATCCTTGCCGAACCAATCAAACCAAGAAAAGAAAAAAAAAATTGAAAATCGCGTTCCGATCTTCGATTTTCGATCGTGTTTCAGAAACGGAACGTTTAATCAAATACCGTTTCCGGCCGCGTTATTTAAGTAAAATGTAAAAGGAACGGAAGAAGCTCGACCGCAAAACGAGGAGATCGCATTGCGCCGCACCAACCTTCCCAGGTCTCCCGTTACGGACCTCATAAATCAGATGCATCGTGTCGTCGTTCATCCCCGAGCTCTATTCCATTCCCTTTGCTCTTAGTGGCTTCTCTCCCACGGCTTTTTCGCCGTCTCCTTTCCCACTCACCAACGCCGCGTTTACATCACCGAGCAAATAAGCGGTAACATCGAAACTCTCTCTCTCTCACTTTGCAACGACGATAGTCGAAGATATTGGAAGGTACACGCGTTCGTGTGCGCATGCGTAAGCGCAAACACGCGCAATCCTGATATCGAGCGAGTGCACTACTCTACACTGTTAATTTATCGAATATAATTTACGGAATACTATAGAAATTCGAGTCGAGCGAACAACTTTTCTCCCTCAAGAATTCAAAATTTCGCGCCACAATCGCGATTCCTTCTCAATATCTCTTCGCTCGCTTTGATCGATTCCCCTGCGCTCAAGTTTCTCTTCGAGATTCGAGTTTTCCAACCGTAATATCGCCACGTTGAATAATGAACATGATCTTTCATTCGACAAGTTGACCGGCGATTCGAGGTTGAAGCTTTCATCTGGAGCTAACTGGGAATTAATTCCTGGACGAATCGATATTGGAACGTGTCGTAAAGCCTTAGTCGTCGAAACGTTTCGCTGTGGGTGAAGCGAATGGCGAACGAAAACGCGAACGCCGCGTATCACGAATGGGGTACCGCGATATCGGCAATATCCGTGTCGTCACGAGCCACCCAAATGCGACAACAATGCTCTGCGGATCCCGGGCAGCGACGATTCCTCGTCGGTGCCTGTAATTGTAACGCGGTGGATTGTTTTAACGCGGTCGCAGTTTGTACGGGTAGAGAGGGGGGGAGTCGTAAAACGTTTTAGCACGTTGCTTGTTCCCGAAAGCGAGCCACGAAACAACGCGGAAAGATCGTTGACACTGCGTAAACCCCTGCTTGTTCCCTATCCTCCTAACAATGCGCGAAAGGTATTTTCTCTTCTCTCTTGCTCTTGCCAACGGTATATACATATATATATATATATA